TATTTTATTTTATGTGCTGGAATGTGCAGAAAATAGGTTTAAATGTTAAACAAATTTCTTCCAGTCAGAGAATATTTCATATAATTAAATATAGGCTTGATGCATAAAGTTAAAAAATTAAAACTAATAAAACCAGTTTTAAAAAGAGACTTTTTCATTTGATTACATTTTATATGATGGATTATGCAGAAAAAGTAGAATTGTGCTGAAAGATCTATCGCTTTATTACCTATTCATGTTGCAAATCATGTTTTTAAAAAGTAACTAATTACTTTTGAAAATAAGTAATCAGTAAAGTAACGGGATTACTTTTTTGGGTAAGTAATCAGTAATTAGTTACTGATTACTTTTTTCAAGTAACTTGACCAACACTGCTCTCAACACACGTGGGTGAACTCAAAATGCAGCTTTATTGCTGACTCAAGGGAAAATGATACAAAACTATACTGGGAAAATATAAACTAAAAGCACAGAGAGGCACACAAGGGAACACACAGCATGAGGGACTGAGGGAGACTCTGACATAAATACACAGAAAACTAACAAGGAACGTAGGAGCACACAGGGAACACAGCTGACACGAATCATGATAATAATGAGACAGGGGAAGAGCAAACACAACATGACGGACACAGACAGAGACTATCAAAGTAAAACAGGAAGTACACAGAGATGTAGACCGGAGAGGGAGAGAGAACATGAGGAGCACGAGGGAGAGAGGCAGGCATGACAGGCTGGGGAAAACATGATGGCACAAGAACTCACACAACCATATAAATGCAGACACCCAGGTGGAGAAACAGAAGGCAACAACACAGGGGGAATACTGAACAGAATAACGTAGGAAACCTAGAATAATTCTTAACATAATGCAGAAAATGACAAAAAGCACAGGAAACTTAAACCGCTGGGCCAAAATGACCCAGATCCATGACAATAACGTGATGTTTGTGTCAGAGATGTTTTTTAATTTGTAAATCGTCCTGTGTTTATTCTCATGTCTTTGGGGCATTTATAACCAAAAATAATACCATTGATTAAGAGTTTCAGGTTTCAGGACATCACTGTGAAAACTGTAAAAAGTTAAGTTAATGTGGAGTTTCATTGACAGAGCTCTCTGTGACAGATGTGAGCAGATATGCAGTCTTGAAGTCTTTAACCTTAAACAACCTGAACAAAGTTTAAGTGTTCTTAGATCCTCATGTTTGATGATTCTAACATTAAATGTTTCACTTCACATTTTACCTTTTCTTCTCCTGCAGCCGATAATCTGTCTGCTCTGGTTTTATCTCAGTCGAGTATAATTTAATTTACTGTGAATGTGTTTGATCTGCCTTCGTGAGGAATCCCGGCGCAGCAGCTAAACCTTTTATCCTTCTAAAACTTGCAGCTCTGTTTCATGTACACCACAATATTTGATGCAGCTTTCAGAGTTTCCTGCAGCTCGTGTGCAACTGTTGGTTTCGGTATTTGACAAATTTTTGCTTTCACACCTTTTAGGAACTGATATTCTCATAGTAGAGTCAGTGTCTGTTTTTACTTTTTTTGTTCTATAATTTAAAAAAGTATTCATTCATTTCATTTTTGCACACCAACTCTTGTGGTCATAAACTGTAAAATTATCTGTGTTCACATGTTTATAACTGAAAACTAAGGCAGACTGATGATATGTTTAACATGTTAACCTGTTTTAATGTCGGATTCACTCAAAGAACTGATTTCTCTGACTCAGTCAAATATGAGGAACCCAGTTTATCAGATTCATATTCTTGTGTCCTGTGAAGAAGTAACAGATATAGTTAATCTGAACAGAAAACACATCTTTAAACATGTCCAGATGTTTAACATAAAAGCTAATCATTCACTTCTTGACCCCACAAACAGCTGCTTACATGATGCTGACAGAGGAGAAAGAGCATCTCCATCTCACGTTCAGGGTTAGAATAAAACTCCAGCAGACATAGGGAAATGATCAGACAACTCAACCCAGAGCTGCTTCCGCTGGCTTTGAATCCAGGAGGACACCATTAGAAGATTGAACAAACATTAATGAAGCTCAGCTTTTAAATAAGAAAAAAAAATAACATAAAAGTGCCCAATCATCCAGGTAAGAAAATCCCAAAAAAGTTGATGTTGTTCATCTGGACGTAGTGTTTTCAGTAGGAGAAACGATTCATCGTCATCCAAGTGGCTTCTTCAGTCTCAGCTGACTGCAGGTGTGCCCAACCTTATAAATAGTACATTTATGTAATGAGTGTAACTAGCCCACTGAATGAACAGTTTATTCATCATTAATATGCAAATTGTCATAACCACTGATCAGCAACCACTGATCAAAGACCATGAGTACCATTCACAGAGAGTTAGGAAATGGCTGCAATCACAGCATTGTAAGAGGGTGATTGATTCCAGTGTAGATTCCAGTCAACTGAGTTTTTTTCTTACCCCTCCCAATTCATATGCATCAGCCTTCTATCTGTGGAAGGCTGTTTACCTCAGCTGCCAATACTGGGTGAGAAGTATTTGCCTTGATTTACTTTTTTTTTGCCTGTCCAGCGCAGCACTGTAGCAATCAGAATTATTGTCTCAAGGCCAAATAAAATGCCCAACGGATTTATTTTTCCAATTGGATCATTATTGGTCCACTTGATCTTTATTATTTATTTATTTATTTATTTTATTTATTTATTTATTTTTGCTTTTAGGTTTTGACATACACATGATTGGGGGATAGGAAAGGGAAAGACGTAGACTTAGAGAAGTTCAAGAAAAGGAGAGGGGAAAGAAAAACAGAGGGGAAGAGGGACAATGAGAAAAGACATTAAGAAGTCCACTGAATCACCTGCTGGAAGAAAAAAAAAAGAAAACAAGCAAAAAGAGAACAACACAGTAGGGAGACTACAGCAACAACCTAGATAAGATAAATATAAGCAATAGTAAATAATAAATATTGAATGTTACTGAGCAGCACGCAAGACCGACAACGCACGGTATGCTTTGAAGCAGGAGCCAAGAAAAATAGTATGTGTCTGTGAACACCTGTGTGTACACCTGTGTGCGTGAGCATGCTTGTATTCAAAAAGTTTCTCCATGTAACTATCTGATAGAGAGTGTGGGGAGCCATAGCCCTGCCCCCCAGGACATGAAGCAGGCATGGAGGAGATCCAGGCCCCAGACATCTAGAGGTCCAAGGAGGACTACTGGAGGGGCAGCCGCACCATCCTCCTGGAAAGAGCTGAGGAGAGCCCCATACAGGGGGTCACCCAGCAGCTGCGGTGCAGAAGCTACAGGTGACTGCGGTGACGTGCCCGCGGGCTCTGCCGGCAGCCAGTTGCACCAGAGTGGGCAGAGCCCTGGGCCAAGAGGCCGAGGTCAGGGAGCCCCCCACCCTCCGGTAGGAGCCCGACCGAGCCACGTGCACCAGGCCCCGTCAAGCAACCACCAGGAATGAGTCAGTGCATACCTGAGCACCCAGCCCCAGACACCAAGAACCACCAATACGCCGACGGCTGAAGGCATCAGCCACCAGCAGGGATTGTGGTGGGGGGAGATAGGCCCCCGCACCTGGGGGCCTGAGATGTTCCCAGAGAGGTGGAGTCTAAGACCCGACTTGACACATAGACATAGACAAACAGGCACACACAGACACAAACATGCATTCCTGCCCTCATGCACACATATACCAATAGTCAGCACTCGCCCAACATGGAGACAAACAGAAATGAACACTGTATACCTTGATTTACTCTTGATTAAACTTTGCAAAAGGAGTCCGATATAAGTCAGAAATGAACTTGTTTATCCGCATTTTCATATGCAGCCCTGACTTCATTTCAGGAGATGAAGCTTAATGTGAGGAGGAAGAGGATGAGATTTTACTAAGGTTACTATGTTACTTGAAAAAATTTATTTGTAACTAATTACTGATTAATTCTCCATTTTCAAAAGTAATTAGTTACTTAGTTACTTTTTAAAAACATGATACACTACCTGAATAGGTAATAAAGCGATAGACCTTTCAGCCCAATTCTATTTTTTCTGCATAATCCATCATATAAAATGTAATCAAATGAAAAAGTCTCTTTTTAAAACTGGTTTTATTAGTTTTAATCTTTTAACTTTATGCACATTGCATCAAGCAAAAATTCAATTATATGCAACAGTCTTTGACTTGAAGAAATTTGTTTAACATTTAAACCTATTTTCTGCACATTCCAGCACATAAAATAAATTTTTTTTTGTGTTTACAGTCACTCTTTCAAATAGATGCAAGTAAAACACAGCAGAAAATAAATCAAATCAAAGACTCAGCAGCACTGAGTCCTGTCGCTTTTAAATCTATTTTCACCTGTTTAGCAGAGGTGGAGCAGGCGGAGGTTCGCCCGGTGCCACAGCGGTCATGTCAGTGGGAGGATCCGGGGGTTTCACATTCCCATGGCAGCGTGCTAGGTACTTGCTCGGAAGTTTAGGGGTTTTTTTCCGCTGTAAAAAGAAGTTTTCTTCCCACACAGTGAACAGCGGACGCTAATATTTTTGTCACTTTTTACAGAATCAAACTCAAAGTAAGGTCAGTACTTCCACGCTTTAAACGCTGCACGGTGATACTCTCTCCCGCACTCTATATATTATCCATTGTTGATCTGCACACAGCTGTTACCACGAGCGGTGCACATGCTTACGTCATTGTCATGAGACACTCTCACAAACAAAATCACAGTTTGTGGGGCAACCGTGGTTCAGGCGGTTGGGACACTCATCTGTAACCGGAAGGTTGCCGGTTCGATCCCCCTGCTCTCTCTGTCCTGGTTGTTGTGTCCTTGGGCAAGACACTTTACCGCCTACTGGTGTCGGCCAGAGGGGCCGATGGCATGATATGGCAGCCTCGCTTCTGTCAGTCAGTACTTCCACGCTTTAAACGCTGCACGGTGATACTCTGAGGTATAGCTGCCCTGGGTCAGTCTGTCCCAGGGCAGCTGTGGCTACAACTGTAGCTTTCCTCAGTGTGTGAATGTGGGAGTGAATGAATAGTGGAATTGTAAAGCTCAACCGTTTTTTAACATGCGGCGCAAGGAAAGCCGATCGGATCAGGGTCTTGGATTTGAACGCTCCAACGCCCC